GCGGGACCGACTGCCCCAGACCCCGAGTGAGATGCCGGACGCCCTCGGGCCGGACCGTCATCAGGCTTCCAGCGCTGGAACGCCACGGGCCGGACGGTGGGCGCCGGCTACAGGGTACGCTACCTGGCCGGCAATGCCAACTGCTGAGGCGGCCAGGCCGACCCCGCTCCCTGGGCAGGGATCATCGCCGGCCGGATACCGAGACCAGCCCACAGGGCACGTCCAGGACCACCCGGACCGGCCCAATCCGACCACCCGAGGCCGAGTCAGCTAACAACGGGAGCGATCAGCTTCGCGGGCGTTTGCTACCATTGGATGTTAAGCGGTTGTTAAGTATAGAACATGACTGAAATTATCGTTTAGGTTCCAGGTGGATCTAGTGCTTCTCAGGCGACATGCTTTTTGTTGCTTTTTTTGTCTGTGGTCTTGCTGTGTTAGTTTTTGCAGTTTTGCCTGTGCGGGAGCTCTGGCTTTGGTAGCTGAGCATTTTCATGCAGCGTGAAGTGCTAAAAGCTGTTTATGTGAAGGATTGACTACATTAAAACTACTAGTCAATACAAACGGTTATATAAAGAAACTGGACTGGCCCTCTTTTTCATGTGCGTGAGTGAACGGCAAGAGTGCATTCGCTGCATATGTTTATTCGCATAAATTGTGTGCAGAAATTTTAAAACCTGACTCTCGGCCATATATATAGACTACTGATATCGGAAAAAAACGTTGATAGGCATAGTGATGCGTCACATCATGTTCTTGATCTTTTAAACAGACCTTCACTATCTGACTGGAAAAAATGTACTAAATTTATATGCAAGCATATTGTTCGAATTATTCCGCACGTCTTGAGTACGTTTCATAGCTGGTATCGCAATTTGGTGTTGAATGTTACGACAGTTTGGTGGCGTTTTTCTAACGATAGGGAACGGGGGGTGAGGCTGTTGAAAAGGGCATGTGAAAACGCTGCAGTGAAAAAATTATATTCCTCGGTACGCGTAATATGCGAAGCCGCATGTTTTAAGGCGCTGCTGCGCATTTGAACGCTGCTAGAACTCCACCCGGGTCTGAATTTTGGATGTGCTGTTCGATCGCAGCGTGGAGGAGCACTTCGTTTTGACGGATGTGGAAACCTACTGTAAATTATCAAAAACGACCGCCGAGCTTATTGCATGACCAGGTCCAGGTCTGGATGCGTGACGTGTTGTTCGATCGGGGCGGGAGCGATAATTTCATGCTTTGTGGCTATGTAGGCTTACTTTACTTTAAAAATCGGTCGCTTGGCTTATGACATAACCACTGGTAGCCTCAGATAAGTCTCAGAATTAAAATGACCAGAAGCATAGCCAAATAAATGCGAGATGATCAGGTGCAAGTTGAACACAGTCGCAACATAGTTGCATATATAACATAGAACATAGTTGCATATATTGCAAGTTGAACAGCGGACGCGTGTTGAACATAGACCGCCCGTGAAAGCACACTATGGTACACACAGCGCAGGCACAACACAGCACAGAATAAAACCGCACAGCACAATACAGTATAGCACAGCACTGAGGACAAGAAGCAGAACACATGACGGAACCAAACGGCGGACAGCGCAAAGGACAGTGGGGACAGAGCAGACGCCAGCCCAAAATGGCCCCGATGCTGACGCGCCCTTCAAAACCAAACCAAGTCCAGAAGCTACGCAATGGAAAGGACAGAGAACAGGACGGAAAGTAGGCAGGCTGACAGAGAACAAGAAACAAGGCAGAGGACGGGGTAGCGCAGATGACGTGGGGCAAGCGGCAGAACAGAGTAGCCTAGGGCAGGACAGAAGAGAGCCGGACGAGGACGGAAACGAGGACAGGGTAGCACAGAGCACAGGGCAGGGCGACGAGGGCAAATGATAGCATAGAGAAGGACAAAGGGCAGTCAGAACGGGAGTCATGGCGCGTAAACGACACACCAAGACACGGGCAGAGACCTTACGGCAGAGACCAGAAAATAAAGGGCAGATGATGTGCTACACAGAAACATAGGCCGCGGTAAGCCCTCAATTCCGCGGCAAGGATTGTATCAGGAATGAAACGATATGACCACGCCTCTTTTGCACTGACTGATTTCAGCTGACCATCTGTAAAGACAATGATTACAGATGCTGGCGTTGCACTTGTCAATACGTTCACCACTTTAGGAAGCGAGCTTCTTAAGGCACCTGCTCGAACGACGTAGTCGGGTAAAAACCTGCACGTCTCGGTTTTTGGCAGTACCACTTTTACGGCAATATCGAATAACATACATTTGTTTATCATTCGTCTCAATATATTTGTATATCAGCCGTCGCAATACATTTATATATGTATGCCAGACGGCTGGCATAGATGGTCGGAGGGTCCAGAGGACAGAAGACGGAACACACCAACTTCGATCCTGTCCTATTCTGTCCTGAGCTGATGTGCTCTGTGTTATCCCGTGTAGCGGAGCGGAGCGGAGAAGAACGACGAAACGCAGTGGATGACTTCGATATGTGTCCCAGACCAGCCTCGCCTCTTAATTCCTAAAGCGGAACGAGCCCGTCGACGCGCGGCTCATGGCGGTCTGGCGCGCTCCACGCAAAGCTAAATGAATACATAAAAAGATAGAACGCCATGCCTGCTCCGGGTGTCTTTGGTTCAAGTATGTGTGGTGTGGTCAAATTGTGCCTAGCTGATAAGAAAATTTGGTAGGTGTACAGATGCCTGCACACCGCAGTGCAAGCCACAAACCGTCTTTCACGGTCATGGGCGTAGCCACCAGATCGCTCGGTTTGGTCCGGGACCCAGTGCAATTTGGGCAGATTAAACAAGTTCCGTCTTTTGACCAAATAAGGTAGCATTTGACTACATTAGGGCTTTACGATACACTCAGCTGCTGGGCAACATGGCGTCGCATGCCTCTCATCCTGGCAGGAAGGGTGGGCACCGCGGAGAATAGAACCCCTTACCTCCCGGAATCCCGCTTTCCCAGACGCGCAGCGGGTAACGTAGAGGCGTTAATCACTACACTATCGGCACTCTCAGGCCAGGTGCAAGAGTGGCTCTCCGTAAAACATAAACGGGACCCAGTTACAGTTAAGGCGTGGTACGACCAGGTTCACGGCTGCAGGCTGTGTCAAAAGTGGTAAGATCGCTAGCGCTTGTATCGATTAAGGGGCTGCCCAATCTAGCAAAGGAACCTCCTTTTTCCAAAACTGGGCCTCCTGATGTGGAGTAGGGGTTTCCTGATACTCAGAAGAGGTGATCCCAATCCAGCGGAAATAGCTCCCTGAAGGCGCTGAAGCTCAGTGTGAGTCCGTCATGCGATAGCCTAAGAAGGCGTAAATGTGATTTGTTTGGTCCCCTACCCCCTTACCGCCTCCTCTTACAACCACGTTTTTATTTCAGCTTAGCTGATGTCTCCTGACAAGACGTGCAATTCATCGTACACCAGGGACGCTGAATTTGCGATCATTTTTCATGGCTTTCGAATAGATACGATAAAAGCCAAAAGATACGTCACTCCCTGAAGTTGCGCTTATTTGCTCTCAAACTCGTGGGCTGGAACTGTAAAAAGTTTGTAGTCTGACCACATATATTGAGAGCACCGATTAGTGGGAATGGCCAGATCTGCACCCACGGGCGTCGATTTGTATTCTTTTGTGAGGGCCCTGGCACTCCAATGTTGAGTTGGGCTCCCCAATGTTGGCTTGCCCCACCCCCCGTGTTTTTGGTTGGAATACTACAAAGACGTGGGTAAAAGATGATCATAACGCATAGACTATGTTCTTTGATCTTTCCTGCGTAGTGGCGTCTCGTACCACCCTCACAACAAAATGTCAAGGTTGCTCCCGCCACAAGATAACAGTCGTAACGGCTGAGCGAAATATGGAGGTAACCTAAGTCCTTCATGGCTAACCCCGTCCTCGTCCCTCACAACCAAAATGCGTGCCGCCTCTCATGACCATCATAGAAGAGCGCCATCGGCGCCCTAAGGTAGCCTCTACAGGAACGCCTTTACGTGCCGATCAGAAGAAACGCATGCGTGCAGTGCCCGCTTCCTGGATCCAACCCTGCTTGATTTATGTACTGCTTGAATTAAAAACTTATAAATTATGCAAAGATTAAAAACATAGACTGCGTTTAATCAAAGCAAAGTGGGCTAAATCCGTTGGGAGAACATGAGGTCGCCGGGCCCTCGGTTCGCCCCTCCCAATAATTTACACAAATTTACACCCCTGTCTGCGACCACAAATACTTACCAAATATTATCTCCGGAACTAGCCCACTTTCGCCTCGAAATTCGGGCCCAAGTTGGAGAATGGGGCCGAAACCCCCTTCCCCCCCCCGCACACCCACCCACACTAGGAAACTACACCAAACTACAAACATACCTCCATTGAATAGCACCCTACACTGTCAGACCCCGTTTGCCACTCCGACCGCCGAGTCAGTTGAGAAGCTGAGGTTCCATCAGCAGATGTTACATGATCTAATCCAACGTAGGAATGCATCATCGATCTTTATGAAATCAGTCTCATAGATTTTAGCTTACAACAGCAACATAGCCAAATTTAAATAAGAGGTAACTCCCCGTCAAACGCCGATCAGATCTGTCAACTGTTACAGACAGCCTACCATTGGCTGCTTTAACGCCAAAATGACGTCTATAGTAGGCCGCACGAGCCAATCATCTTCGAAATCGGCGGTCAAGGCTCCAACATTTCACCATTTAGGCCAATTCCGGCGGCGGAACGGCCAGCGATAGGCAATCCATTCTGCCGTTCTGCGCCGTTTCCGCCAAGAGCTGTTGTTTCTCATTTTCGCGAGTATCGAATACGTTTGGCGCCGTAGAGAGTCGCGCTGGAGGTACGGAGGCAGAGGATCTACGTGCCGTGGCATACCACGCGTGCGTACCAGCGAACTACGGACGGAAAGAGTGGGGCGTAGCCGCGTCCAGCCTTTGAATAAATTGGTACCGTGTTGGATGGGAAGGTGTGTTGATAGCTGCACCATATATGAGTGTGCTGTGTCCGATGCAAACCATTTTGCATTTTGCAAACCATTAACATGTACTTATTGCAGCTTGGCCAGTGCACGCCACTGCACTTAGCAGTAATACTAGAAATGGAAAGCTTAGGCTAGAAATGAATAAAATAAACAAAGAAGAAATATGCCAGGTTATGGTAAGATTTTAAAACTATCCCTTCCCCCAAAAAGAATGCTGCCAATGATGTGCATACTGGATTATACCAATGCTTCTATGTCAGAGACCTGCAAAGATGTGTCTAATTGCCAGACTGTTACTCATAAGCAGAGTTGTTAGAAAATGATGTGTGTCACACTGAAACAGGACAATGATAAGCAGTTGTTGGGAAATTGCATATTGATGAAAGAAATGCACGGCAGGGATAAATATTCTGTTTTATAGGTGTATGGTGAGGTTTCATCAGGGAACACAAACATGATGGGTTTTCGGGATGTTGTGTAGCGATGCAGGTTCAGGTGTCAAGGAATGAGTATGAAGGTATTGCCATTGTGGCCTGGAATGTTGTGTAATATGTGACAAAAATGGGCCACTTGAGGTGCAGCTTTGTTGTTTCTTGTGAACTCAGATGTGCATGAAAAAAGGCATATTATGACATGAAGGCCTATGTGCAGTTATTATAACAAAGTCTCTGGGCAAGTGATGCTCTAGTTGATGTGGCTTTTGTACCACCACAATCACCAAGGATGTGAAGCACTGGCACTCAGTGTATGGGCTGATGTGCCTCAAAGTTGGAGAAACAACACCTTATCCTGCATTCCCTGTTATGTCTATTGCCCTGTTGTCCTTATTCTACTGTGATGTCATATATTATTTATCCATGAGTTCGTATTGCACAATAGATTTTCACTCAATATGCACTGATGCTTCACCTTATGTGTGTGCCCAAGGACATGAAAGTTAGCTGCACTGTTTGCAAACTTTAATTGGTCCCAGTACTTTTGAAAACATATCAATGTCATGTTTGGAACTGCTAAGACCTATCAATATATATTGGTCTTCATCTTGGTTCCTGCCATGCCAGCTGGCATCTGCAGTGTGGGCACCATTGTCCTGTCTGGTCTCAGTAGAACACTGCCCCTTGGATTACTAAATGCTGCTGCTGGTTTCTCCAATTTGTAGCCATGCAACACTTGTCAGCTTTAAGGTGTGTTGTGTGTGGGACTGTCCTTGGTTGCCACATTATGTTCGAGTGATTGGAAAGTAATGCTACTGCTATATTGCCGTGCTGCTTACTTCCAATGTAATACACTGGGAGAAATGCTGCTCCTTCAGAGACCAGGGGCTATTTCCTCCATCTATTGTTTGCAGCCATACCATTGCCCATAAGATGTTACATGCCCTGTGCTTGACACCGCCCCTCAGCCACCTGATGTCACCACCCACACAGTCTGGGGTGACGCTGCTCCCTCCGTTTCCAGATGCCGAGGATGCGCTCGTTGCGGGCGACCCGCTGTCGAACCCAGCCCGGTCAGACGACAGCCAACACGGTATGCAGGTACCAGCACCACTTCTGTCAGATGGTACGTGATGAGCTCGCCCGACTTCTCTGGCCCTGTGGAATCGCACGGAGGTCGGGGGTGGGGTTGGGGCCATGCATGGCGCTGTATGCTTCTAGAGATGGGGCATTACCTGCCTTGGTTTGTTTTGTCTTACATCCCCAAAGGAAGCTCTGATCTTCATAACCACTCTTTAAAAAAGTGCACAACGCCTATTTCATTTCTGGGACGTGTTCGCCCTTCCCACCTCCAGTGCATTGTATGGACCCTCCGTGTCTTGTGTTGGTGGCTGCTGTACGGTCATGCCGCTGGTGTGACGCATGGACGTGGCGCATTGTTTGGGGGAGATTGGGGTGAGTGTGGAGTTAAGTGGGATGCAGTTGGCAGGGACATGACATTGGTGAGATTGTATGGCTGGTGCGGCTGTGGTGCGTAACGCTGTGTAGAACTGTTCAGGTGGGGGCATTGCGGTTGGTGCGTAAGTTTCCCATGCTCCAGTGCCTATCCCAGTGAGGAGGGGACACTGGGGCGGTGTGCGGAGGCACATGTGGAGACACTGAACCTACGGACGACGACAGTGACCTCCTCCGTCGGTGCAGAGTGTGATTTCCTTGCGTGACTTGGGCAGGGTTTGACAATTGTTACCAGGTGTGTGCTTTGCGGATTCAAACACATTGTGTATGGGTTTGGGGATGCCGGGTGCCGGCTGCCAGGTGGCGGCTGGCCTCGGTCCCTGGCCGGTCAGGACCAGCGGTGGCCGGCGCCAGTCGCCCGCGCCGTCCGATGCCACCCCTGGGCACGACCCCTCGGACCGCGATCCCGGAAACTTGTTGAGAATTAAATGACACGAAATTAAGGTGCGTTGCTTTAGAGTGAGCCGATCAAGCGGATGGGCCCATCAGCATGGGAGCATTATCGCTGCTGCCGATATAGCATTTAATGTGGATTAGTTCAGTCAAGTATAGTGTTCGCTCCAGCTGATGTGCACTGGCACTATATGTGTCGTCAAATTGGCGCCGCTCCACAGCGGAGAGACGCCGCGTCAGTGACGCGTCACTGTGGTTTGTTTGCAGCCTCCGGGTCCTGAAAATTCCGCCCGATTCTCGCCGTTGGTCGGTGTAATCGACCCTCCTCAATGTTAGCACCACATGTCGGCAGCGCTCGCTTCGCACTCGCTGATTTCCGCGCAAAAACGGCGCCGCGGGCGGCCCTCTGATTGGCTGCCGTCTCCGGGGCTGCCCGAGCAGCCGTCACTGGGGCGGCTGCGAGCTCAGGGGACCGAGCTGAGGGTGTCTCTGCACTCTGCCGCCGGCTGGGGATCGGCGCTGATCTCGGCGAGCGTTCAGCAGCGGCGGCAGGTGCTGGAGCTGCTGGTGGCGGCTGGCACGGGGTGCCGGCCAGCCGGGCCCGACTCATGGCGACGGACGTCGGCCGGCGCCGGCCGAGATAGCGCCGGTGGGAGCCGCCGCGTGCTCGGCCTGCCGCCTGACGGCGTCCGGTTGGCCATCGTTCTGTAGTGGCCGGCTGGCCGAAGCTCCGCCGCCGTGTGTCGCTCGGCCGGCCGCCGGACGGCGTCCGTTTGGCCATCATTCTGTGATGGCCGGCTAGCCGGAGCTCTGCCGCCGTGTGTCGCTCGGCCGGCCGCCGGACGGCGTCCGTTTAGCCATCGTTCTGTGATGGCCGGCTGGCCGGAGCTCTGCCGCCGTGTGTCGCTCGGCCGGCCGCCGGACGGGCGTCCGTTAGCCATCGTTCTGTGATGGCCGGCTGGCCGGAGCTCTGCCGCCGTGTGTCGCTCGGCCGGCCGCCGGACGGCGTCCGTTTAGCCATCGTTCTGTGATGGCCGGCTGGCCGGAGCTCTGCCGCCGTGTGTCGCTCGGCCGGCCGCCGGACGGCGTCCGTTTAGCCATCGTTCTGTGATGGCCGGCTGGCCGGAGCTCCGCCGCCGGATGTCACAGCTCCGACGCCGTGTGTCGCTCGGCCGGCCGCCGGACGGCGTCCGTTTAGCCATCGTTCTGTGATGGCCGGCTGGCCGGAGCTCCGCCGCCGGATGTCACAGCTCCGACGCCGTGTGTCGCTCGCTCCAGAGTAGCTGGGCCTCCGATCGTCCAGTCCGGATGAGCGTTTGTTGTGATGTTGGTGGCTTATAAGAAATGATTGCTGCTTTGAGTATACCTGCTGTGCCGACGTGCATATCACAAAGGCGACGATGATGATTTATACCACTGTCATATATATAGTTTTTGTCACGCTCTGTGGCGGCCCACATATCGCTTCCGACTGCAGAGGTCTTATACAGTGCGCCACGCTGGGCCTGAAACGTCTGCGATGCGTGTTTCGTGTCATCGAAGAATGTGGCGTTTCAACTCCAAACCGCTTGCGACGCTACAACTCGTATAGGTCTATTTACCTCGAGGCCCTGGTGTAACAGCTGGCCAAATGGTATCTTTACGGTGTTCATCTTCAAACCTCGTGCCATTTTTACACATTTGTTTTGGGCCAGATGACTTGTATGGTCACTGGATACGGCCTTCGCGCTCATAATTCAATTTATATTAAATTTAAATGAGTTATGAGTAGCATCTGTTTAATTTATGCTGAGCTGGTCTCACTGGGTGCATTTTAAACATGCATTCGAAGCAGTCTAATTCAATTTATTAACTCTAAGCCACAATTCGCATGACTGCGCCATCAGACGTTACACCAGCTCCGCGACGCTGTCGTTCAACGCCAGCTGCACCTCTCATTCATCGTTATCTTGTCTGACCGCAGTCCAGCAAAATGAGGTACCTACTTGTATGCCTGACTAAAACGAGTCCTGGATTTGGCGAGGTCCCCAGCTTACCGGCGTTGTTATTGCAGGAACGCCTGGAGGGCTTCTCGCTATGCCAGATGCACATTCTGGAGGACCGGTCGGCATCATACCGGCCCTGCTCCTTCATCTACGGCAACGGCAGGAAGTGCGGCGTGCCCGTGCCCAAGAAGGACAGGTGAGCGCGGCGGCGGGCCTGTCGGCGCTGAGTCGGCCGGGTCACCGGCGCTCTGAACCCTGTGCAACAGCGACAGCGTCATCTGTGGTCAGCCGGGCCACCGGAAACTTAACCGTGCGCGGCGGTGGCAGTATCCTCCAAACGGTCGATCGCCCGCGCGCCTGCGGTGGCCGGTATGAGGTGTGTTGACGTCGCCTGCCGTCGGCGGCGTCCCGTTGTCCTGTGTCTCCGTCTCTGGAGTGTGACGCGGCCGTCAGCGGCGCCCCCACTGCGCCGCCGCGGGCCGCTGACGGTCCCCGGGCCGTGGCGCACGCGGCCGCGTGCCGCGCGTGTCGTCCCGGCTGCCAGGCCGTCGCGGCTCGGTGACATCCCGGCCCCCTGTCGGCCGCGCGGTCCGCTGCTGAGCGGTGGCCGGGGCGCGACTGGCTGACGGTGCCGCCGGCCGCACCTCCCCGATACAGGCAGTCGCGCATACTGCTGCGGCCGGAGTGAGGTCCCAGACCGCGTGCTGTGGCCGGAGTGAGGTCGCAGGCCGCGTGCTGTGGCCGGACTGAGGTCCCAGACCGCGTGCTGTGGCCGGACTGAGGTCGCAGGCCGCGTGCTGTGGCCGGACTGAGGTCCCAGACCGCGTGCTGTGGCCGGAGTGAGGTCGCAGGCCGCGTGCTGTGGCCGGACTGAGGTCCCAGACCGCGTGCTGCGGCCGGAGTGAGGTCCTAGACCGCGTGCTGCGGCCGGAGTGAGGTCCCAGACCGCGTGCTGTGGCCGGAGTGAGGTCGCAGGCCGCGTGCTGTGGCCGGACTGAGGTCGCAGGCCGCGTGCTGTGGTCGGACTGAGGTCGCAGGCCGCGTGCTGCGGCCGGAGTGAGGTCCCACACCGCGTGCTGTGGCCGGAGCGAGGTTCCAGACCGCGTGCTGCGGCCGGACTGAGGTCGCAGGCCGCGTGCTGCGGCCGGAGTGAGGTCCCAGACCGCGTGCTGCGGCCGGAGTGAGGTCCCGGACCGCGTGCTGCGGCCGGAGTGAGGTCCCAGGCCGCGTGCTGCGGCCGGAGTGAGGTCCCAGGCCGCGTGCTGCGGCCGGAGTGAGGTCCCAGGCCGCATCTGTCTCCTAGGTGGCTCAGCCATGTTGACTTCCTTAGCATTTGACAGAGCAGGTAGCTGCGTGCCCCCTTGAAGTCGCATTCACTCATATTTGCATTGATTTTTGATATTTAAAAAGACGCGTCAGGGGGATTTACTCTTACCCATCCGTCCAGGTGCCTAATTTATGAATGATGTGGGGCGTTCGCGCACCTTGTGCTGTTTTATCTTGGGCTCTTCCTATCTTGGACTTTTCTGTTTTTTCGTGACTGCAGCTTACATTAATTGCTTTCTCGCCTTCCAGTGATGCTCGCCCCGAAATTAAACAGAAATGCGCCGTGATTTGTCATGCTGTCGTGTGTATTCCATTATGTCGCCAATAGCACTGCCTTTCCAAGTAAGAAGCGGACAACAAAATTGGTCCATGTTGAATTATGGAGGCTTTTCGATTGATTCGGAACACGACTCTTTTGTGATATATGCTTGAAAGTTACATGATGTACGTTTGGAATGCGCCATGTTGTCTCCTTTCTGACCTTACTGTTTTCGCAACGGCTGAGGCTGGATGGGCTCTGATGAGCTCGTCGTTTTTCGACGCGCCACGAGACCATTCGGATCAGCCTTGTCTCATCCCATCCGCTTTTACGCCACGGGAAGAGACACAATATGGTCTGAAATGGACCACACGGGGCCTTTGCGGAGCGAAACTTGTCATTGTTGGACTACATCGAATAGCACTTGGGGACGTATGCTAAATTGATAGGTCCGACGTGTGCTTTTCCTTTTTCGGAGAGCAGGTTGGACGCGGCCTTCCCCAGGCGTCCACCTCCATTGTCCGGACGGCAGCGGTTGACACTAGCCGGGCTCGGCTGTGGACACGGCCGGCCGGTGCTGAGCGTAACGCAGGTCCTTGGTCCCGCCCCCAGCCATCACCAGTGCGCCGAGCACCGGCGGCGCCTGATGCTGGCCCGTGAGCGGTGCGAGCGCACCAAGCAGCCAGCCGAGTCGCTGGACACGCTGGCCGAGCAGCTGCAGGAGGGCCAGACGGCCGACCCGCAGACCTCAGGTGGGCGCGCCGGGCCGATCGGTACCGGAACGGGCCGGGCTGACCGGTACTGTGACGGGCCGGGCCGACCGGTACCGTGGCGGGCCGGGCTAACCGGTACTGTGACGGGCCTGGCTGACCGGTACTGTGACGGGCCGGGCCGACCGATACCGTGGCGGGCCGGGCCGATTGGCACTGTGACGGGCCGGGCCGACCGGTACCGTGGCGGGCCGGACCGACCGGTACCGTGACGGGCCGGGCTGACCGGTACTGTGACGGGCCGGGCCGACCGGCACTGTGACGGGCCGGGCTGACCGGTACTGTAACGGGCCGGGCCGACCGGTACTGTGACGGACCGGGCTGTGCTGTGGTGCTCGTCATGTTTTTTCGTTTAAGCTGTTCGTGGAACTTGTCTGGCATGTTATAAATGTCACACTTGTAAAGTGGGGGAAATATGCCTGTTTTTCTGTTTCATTGAGAGGAACGAGAGGGTGTCCGGTCAAGGCCATGCTGTTGTACTTTTAAAAGGAATGTTGAATGTTGAATGAACGAAATTTGCCTCAGCATTTAGAGATGCTGAGGCACGCATCATATATGGTGAAATACGCTCACCCGTAGCTGTTGGCATACTTTTAAGTGCATAAGAAAACAAGAAAACAACAACCAGGTGATCACATCTCACTATTTAGTAAACATCCTCCTCAATACGTCTTCGTTTAATAGTGCCATGAAGCGTTTTTTATGACGTAAGAGTTGCTGTCAGACTGGCCGTGTCAGCATTGTCACTGCAGTAGACGGGCTGACGCACTTGTAGTACTTAAACTTGCTGTGGGATGGCTTGCTAATCGTGCGTGTTTGATGAACCCACACATCTTCATGTGCGCGTGTTTTTGCCCTTTCTCTTGTATATACGCCTGAGATTGTATATTCTTTACTTGTATTCACATGCTCGGTCACGGCGCTTTTCTTAAGTTACTTGATTTCCAGTCCCGTGCCCGTCATAACTAGCACCGTTGCCCACGTCCATACATTGTGTGGCACAAAACATGTTCGAAACTTACACTGAACGCATTAAGCTGGTTGAAGGTCAGCGGCTGTTATTTGATGCCACGAATTGTGCTGACGTTTGCCAGACACGAGAAATTCGATGATCTTGACTTGTCTTGACTTGGAACACAATATTGTCATTGAGGTTGTGATGTTCGCGTCACGTTTCTATGACGTCATGCATGTCTGGGTGATCTTGAAATAGGCTGCGCGACTTAGTCCGCGCAAGCTCGCGTGCTTCAAATTCGGAAACAGGAGGATTTTCAGTATCGGAAAGGGCATGGCTGCAAACTGCATTGAAGGATCTTTAAGAAGGCCATCTCAATTCAAAGCTACAGGCAAATGTGGCACATTCTTTTATGTAGGAGAAAAGTAAAGTCGATTTTACAACTGCAGTGCGAGAACCGACTTGCTTGTATAAAATAACAAGCGTACTCCTGGAGGAAAGAGATCATTGGGATATTGTTGTTTACAACCGTTTTTCTTTATCTCCGGCCTTGGAATTGCCAACGTTTGGACGAGTGGCCAAAGCCGCCTTCGCCGGCTCCGGTCGACCGCGGCCGGCCGTCACCGCTGCATCCGGGCGTCGGCCGCGGCCGCCCTCGCCGGCTCCGGTCGAATGCGCGCGGCGGTCACCGCTGACTGGGCGGCGGCCGCAGCCGGGCCCGGAGCCAGATTACTCGGAGATACTCGGGCCAGATTTGTTGTCCGCCAGCGGACAGGTGCCACGCGCGCGCCGCCGCTGTTGTGGCGCGGTGGGGCTCGTTACAGACCCGCGCAGAGCGGTGGCGGCGGCGAGCGGTGCTCGTGCGCTTAAAGAACTGCCGGCGTCGCCGACCCGCGGCACGGAATGACTGTTCGCTGCCGGCCGGCGGAGAGGCTGTTTTCGTCCGTGCGGAACTTTGGCTAGGCAGATCGGAAATTCGCCTGGTGGTGGTTGCGCTGCGGTAGCGATAAAGCGCGCTGCCGCTCAGTGAGTCAGCCATCAGAGCTGTTTGAATGGAAGCAGGGTGGGATGGAATGGAAGGAACGACTTTCTGAGATGAACTGAAGGACTGAACTGAACTGAACTGAAGAGCTGAACTTTTGATTTGAACGCTTTTGATTTGTGGTAGCGATTATGATTGATCGTCACCGGTGTTCACACAACGCTAGCGGTAGTGGTAGTGAACTGGGATGGCTGGGTTGTGATTCGGCCTTGGGGAAGAGGGAAAGGCGTTGGTAGACGTGTTACACATGGCCAGGGTAGTCGGCGCCCTAAAGCCTAAATCATCATCAAGGTGGACGTGTTGTATCCTTGCTCTAGTGGGTGCTCGCGCTTCGTGCCCCTCCCGAAGCATGAGCTCGTTCGAGCTCGTATCGAGTTTATGAGCGAGCGTGGGTATGCACGCTCGTGGTCACCTCTGGCTAACTGCTAAGCATGGCCCCGCTAAAGTGTAATAATGCCACCCGGCTGCCAGCCCAAACATCGCATCCCATGTGATCTGGTTCCGGTTAGTGAAGTCCCATGTATCACCAGCCCCAGTGCCATGCTGGCTTAAGACAGAAACACGCAATAACAGTATTTCATGAACTTGTCATGGAGGAGATGTTGAGTTTACCACGCCTATCATATCTTCAACTTCTTTGGCCTTTGGTTTATCGTCTGCCATTGTGTGCTGGGTCAGATGCAAAGCGAGTAGTTTGGGCAAACCGCGTATCTGATGACAACCGTGTATTCTTGTTTGAACGACTTGGTTTGAAAAAGTTTTGTTTTGGACAAAATGACATCTATACGGCTAGGCACGTTCGTGCTGGCAGCGGAGATGATCTTGTGTTCTTGAGCTCGTGCCTATTTATCCTTCACGCATTTTCGGAGCGAGAACAGCATATACCATATCTTGGCTGTGTGTGCATTCGTTTGCATTCAGCATGAGGGGCGGCATGCAGTGAGTCTTTGAACCGTCTTTGAGCGCTTAAAGGGCCTGGTATTCGTCGGCACTGGCAGCGGAAGATGAGTTTATGCTTTAAGTTTATAAGTTGATGAAAAACAAGCTCGCACAAGGAACAGCAATGTAATCGCAGCCTTTCGAGCAAATGCCTCGTGACCTCGTGTTTGACCAAAGACCTCGTGTTTGTGCAAAACCAACTTCAACCCTGAGCAGAAAATTGACTGGGACAGTCGAGCACGTGTCGCATGTAGCACTTAGCCTCGAGTACGAAATAAGGTTTTGTGATGAGCCAAACGTTCGGTTCTTACCGAATTGAAAACTTGGGCAAAACTTTTGAACCAAAATACGACCGATGGAAAATAGATAACATGCTTCATCGCGATCTGAATCGGTTACACCGAAACACGGACGCGTCCAGTTAACGGGGGCATTGCACATTTGTATGGGGTTTTGAGCTGTATTAGCTGTGCGGAGAGCTTCACGACCACAAAGATGTGCAGACTACATTGTGCTGACTTTCAATGTCATTCAGGCATGCATGACGCCATAGCAATGCCATTCTAAATCGGTCACCCCACCGACCAGGCGGTGTTCAAGGTCAGAAAGAATGTTCATAGCTGATGTTGGCTCCATTATCTCACATGTGGAGCATATTCTTTAAGCTTCCACCTTAAATGTCGCAAGTCACGTGTAATGCACATCAGTGCCGTATGCTACACGGCCGTGGCCGCTGCTCGATTGACCTCATGTCTGGTGTTGGTGGCGCAGGCGAGGCCTGGGAGGCGGCGCAGCGGCCGCTGCGGTACCGCTCCGACACGAGCTCGGACGAGGAAGAGGGCGACCGCGTAGTGGAGAGTCCGCTCGAGCAGGGTCTCAGCTCCGACGACGCCGACGTCGGGCTCAGCTCCGAAGACGACGACGACGACGACCTGCTCCGGCACGCCGGCGTCTACACCGACGAGGAGGTGCGGCTGCCAGGGTGTGTCGCAGGGGGACGGGTGGGCAGTTCGGCCTTTACCCACGAGGAGGCGTAGCTTCCGGGGCTTACGTGGGGAAGCTTGTGCGAGCCGGAGTGTAAGCGGGCGAGAGGAGGTCGGCGTGTGTTCGGACGAGGTGAGTTGTGCGGGGTCAACACGGACGAAGACTTGAACTGCGTCTGTTGGTGATCCAGAGCCGGCACAGTGAGTGTGTTCTCCTTCCTCGGTCGGTGGTCGGTGGTCGGTGGTCCCGCCGTCGTCAGTTGAGCGTGGCCCGGCACTGACGCCCGTGCCCCGCCGCCGCAGGTGGTCCGGCTGGCCGAGCAGAAGCTGCGCCGACTGCAGCGGCTCTACCGGGGCCAGTTCCAGCGGCTGCAGCACGTGCTGCAGACCAAGCGACGCGCCTACCTGATAGAGGTCGCCCGTGAGAAGGAGACCATGAGTGAGTGGCGCAGGGTCGGGGCGGGGGCAGGGGGTGTACGGTGCGCCCATGTGGAGAAGAGGTGCGGGGTCGGTGCCGGGACAGGGGGTGCACGGTGCGCTCATGTCGAGAAGAGGTGGGAGGTCGGGGCAGGAGCAGGGGGTACACGGTACGCTCATGTCGAGAAGAGGTGCGGGATCTGGGCGGGGGCAGGGGGTGTGTGGTGCGCTCATGTCGAGAAGAAGCGCTGACGGCCGTCTGCATGAGCCTGACTCGGACAGCAGGTGGCATCTCTAGCTGGGTGCCGCTGGTGAGGGGCCTCGCCGTCCAGTGGGCCGCTCTGTACCCCGGTGTGCTGGTGCCTGAGTTGGCTGAGCCGAGACCAGCGTTGGGTGCGGGTGGGCTGACAGTGGCGCCTGTGTGCGGCCCTCGTCCGCAGAGAGCATCAGCGGCGCGCCCCGCGAGGCGACCTCTGAGCAGCAGGCCTACAGCCGACTGCGCGCCTACGGCCACTACCAGAGGCCGGCCGGCAAGGACTATCTCTTTTGGCACCACCGCAACGAGAAGCGTGCCGCCGAGGTGAGGGCACTGGCGAGACGCTGCCGGGAGGGGGCGTGGCCCGCACGTGACCCAGCCCTCGGCTGCTGCCGCCCGACGACAGAGGTGATGTGCGGATCGTTGAGGTCGTGGCTGAATGGTTTGTAATGACCCCGAAGGTCATGATCGTTATTATCGCCATCGCCATCATCGTTCGCTGCTCTCATGACTTCCCCACCACTCTTGTCGCGGTGCTGACGTACCATCACGGTGCTGGCGCACCGAGGCCGGTTTGCTGCCAGGCATGTGCTGCGTTACCAGCCGTGTGAGAGCGGCGCAGGCGCTCGTCTATCCCTGTGCCGGCCCGCCGTGTCGCCGCTGTAAGTTCCCGTGTCATTCTGCTGATGTCCGTGCCCTGTGCCGTCTCTCTGTGTCCCTGTGCCGGTCTGCGTGTCGCTCCCTCACCCAACACGCGTCCGTGCGGAGCCGGGCGGCGCGTCGCCTCTCCGCGTGTCGCTGACCCGGCTCCCGACTGTGTGTCAGGCGGGCGGTCCGGCGCGGACCCCGGCGTTCACGCGGTGCGCGCACGCCGAGGGACGGGTCCGCTGCGGCCAGCGCACCGTCCCGCTCAGCAAGTTCTGCCTCAAACACATTCTGGAGGTGAGTCGGCCCGACGCCCGCAGTCAGCCGCTGTTAGGTCTGGCTGGCTATGGCAGGTTATGTGTGGTTGGTGGCAGGTTATGTGTGACTGGCGCGGCAGGCCCACGTGCTGGGCTGTGCTGCGCTGGTTTTCCGTGTGCAATTGTGTGCACCACTGTTGAAGAATTGATTAAAAAATGAAGTTAAAATTTAAGGAATTCAGAAGTTAAAGAATTATGTTAAACAAATATTTCTCTGTGTGGCCCAGCAGCTGCTGCAACCTCTTGCGACCTAGGAGGGGCGTTGTTGACTGTGAGACTTTGTATCGAATGCGTCTGCACGGCGGGACACTTGAAATTTATCCACACTGAATAGAACACACAGATCATTAGGGAAGGTATGTAACACCACGTATTGTCGTCGATGGGGCTTTACAACGCACTCAGGTGCTGGACTAGGTGCGTCGCCTGCCTGCCATCCAGGCAGGAAGGGCTTGCACCGCGAGGAGTCGAACCCCGTATCTCTGGTTTCCCAGACTCGCAGTGGCTAACGCAGGCGCGTTCACCACAGCATCCTCGGCACCCAGCACCACTTGACCACAGCCTAGATAAACTTTATCAGCATGTCCTGTAACCGCGGGGAAACAGCGTTCCAGTGTGGTGGCCGAGCCCCGCGATCCTGTACTGATGCTCTGGACCACTTCCCGCGCGGTGGCCGGCGCTCGTTCGAGCCACGAATCCGCACAGGCATATTAGCAGTATCTGCCAGGACGTCTCTGGCTAATTGTGTGTAATTTAGAGTCCGTTGCTGCGCGTCGTTAGTCTACGAGGACAGCCGTTATAAGCGGTTCTCTTCGTGCTCCGACCAGCTGTGGGGGGGGGGAGGGGTTGGCGCGGCGAGGCGTGCCAACTGTCGGCGGGTTTGGTGCGGTGGGGTGTGCCAGCTGTCGGCGGGTTTGGTGCGGCGACGCGTGCCAGCTGTCGGCGGTTTTGGCGCAGCGAGGGCGTGCCGCGCATGTGTGGTGGGTCTTGCCGTCCACCGGCCAGTGGCGCGCCACACTGGCTGCCGCGAGCGGCGGCCGCCGTCTGCCGCTGAATTGGACGGCATCTGCGGCAGAAAGCCACTTAGCGTGTCATACTTCAGCGCTCTCCCGGGAGGGCGTGTATGCGTCGTCGAGACACGATCTCGCGGCCGGCTGTACACAACATCACTCTCGGTAATGCTTCGGGGATGCCGGCCTCAACTGACACCGCACTCCTCCTGCGCAGGAAAGTTTGCCGACGCGAACGCTGCGACATGGCCGGGTTTTAGGGAGTATCGTGTGCGCCTGTTTTTGAACTTCAGCTGCCTGACACGAACACTGCGACATAGCCTGGTTTTAGGGAGCATCATGTGCGCCTGTGAGCTTCAGCTGCTTCATTGTCGTTCAGATCGTCAAATCTATGCTTCTTAACCCTGCGAGGTTCAGGTTGTTAACTCCGCACTGTATTGACGGGAGTTTTCTGAAAGGCAACGGTCCTGACATTGTGCCTTTTACAGTGCCGCCAGGTGAAGTGGCGGGAGGGCATGATGAGAGGTCAATATGACCGGCTGATACACTTGTCGACCCCGGCGGTACGCTTGTCGCTGCTCCCGTGTTCATAATAAGCCGATCAATCGACGAACGTCTTCCCCACGTTGGTTAGGTGGCATTCGTCACAGTTGTTGCGCTCTGGCTTGTCGGGTAAGTGGTCGTGGGCGCGGAACACGTGACAGCTGCTGCGCTGTGACTTACCTGGCAAGTGGCTGTGGCACGCGTGACGACGACTTCTGTCTCAAGGTGTCACTGATCAGATACTGAAGTGAGTCGTGCCATTTCTGGTATGTGACGCACTGGCTCCTGTTCGCGGAGGGGCGGTCGAAGACGCTGTGGTCGCCCAGGGCCAGACGCTGCGCTGTGGTCGCCCAGGGCCAGGTGCTGCGCTGTGGTCGCCCAGGGCCAGACGCTGCGCTGTGGTCGCCCAGGGCCAGACGCTGCGCTGTGGTCGCCCAGGGCCAGACGCTGCGCTGTGGTCGCTCAGGGCCAAACGCTGCGCTGTGGTCGCTCAGGGCCAGACGCTGCGCTGTGGTTGCTCAGGGCCAGACGCTGCGCTGTGGTCGCTCAGGGCCGAACGCTGCGCTGTGGTCGCTCAGGGCCAGACGCTGCGCTGTGGTCGCTCAGGGCCAGACGCTGCGCTGTGGTCGCTCAGGGCCAGACGCTGCTCTGTGGTCGCTCAGGGCCAGACGCTGCTCTGTGGTCGCTCAGGGCCAGACGCTGCGCTGTGGTTGCTCAGGGCCAGACGCTGCTCTGTGGTCGCTCAGGGCCAGACGTTGCGCTGTGGTCGCTCAGGGCCAGACGCTATGCATGTCGTGATGGTTCACCAGTCGGCTGTCGCGACAAGTTTGTCGGGTCGGCGTTGAACGAGGACCGCGGCTCCAAGACGAGATCGTGGGGTCCGTGCTTGTCGGTCCGTGCTTGTGTCCGTGCCACCCGTCGGTACCGTGCTTGTTTTAAAGTTTCCACGTGATTGTTCTGTGAGCCTGTGGGTGGAAGTTGCCGGATCCGCCTGTCGGCCCCGCCTTCTTCCGATCAAGTCTCAGAAATTTAGCACTGCGCTCTTCTGCGCGGCAAAACGGGAAGTTGGAAGAACTGGTAGTTTTTACTCTGCTGTACCGACGTTGAACGGGCTGCGTCTCGACAGATATTGGCGATTTTCTCATTACCAGCGGATCCACAAGTCACTTGTTTCGATTTGGCGGAAGTTACCACGTTAAGCCATCGGAAGTTATTGCCAAAGCTCGTGATGAGCTTCGTCCGGCAGGAGGCGGGGCGGGACTTGATTGTAGCACGTTAGGACGCCAGACTGTTTGTTAACAGTTTTCAGCTGGTAACAGTGATGTGGTCGCATGTGCAAAGCGACCAGGCACGTGCACCCACACTCGCGAAAATTTGTCTTATAACATGGAAAGACGGCCTCGCATTGATAAGTAATATGCATTCAGTTGCAGGGAGTGTCGCATATTTAGGGTCTATTTTATAAAAAAACATACTCTTACTCTTGTGAAACCTCAGGACCAGTTAGTCTAGTAACAGCACTGGGTAGTGCCACTGCAGCACCGTCAAGACGTAATGATGATATCAATTTTGATTGTTTTCGCGTCCAAATCATGCTGTCAACGCTTTGCAACCGCACTACGCTTCTTCCACGCAAGCGCAACCACCGTCGTGATGAAAACCGCCGTGCGCAGCTCTACTGGTGTGAATAAAACGTGTTTGTGCTTGGCCAAGCGGTAGTCATGTGACGACACCTGCTCCGCGCTCATCACCTCGGGCAGTCAGGCTACAGCACCAGCTACCGCCGGGCGTGCGTGCCCCGTGCAATGTCAAACCGTCCCCACACCACAACCGCGGTGCCTGACGTCTGGCGTCTTCGGCCGCAGGACCAGCACCAAGTGCTGTTTCGCCGGTGCGGCGACGGCGGTCCAGACGAGCCGTGCCAGACGCCGGTGGCCGCGCTCCGAACGGAGAGTCGCTGTCCACTGCACACTCTGCTGCCGGCCGAGGGCGCCGTCCGGCTGCCGCAGGTCAGTCGGTGCGCTGGCCGAGGGCGCCGTCCGGCTGCCGCAGGTCAATCGGTACGCCGGCCGAGGGCGCCGTCCGGCTGCCGCAGGTCAGTCGGTACGCTGGCTAACGGACGGTTCGCGCTGCACTACCGGCCACGGGCCCGGCGGTACACTTGGTGGCGGGGCAGGCAGTGCACTGCCGGCCACAGGCCTGGCGGTACACTCGGTGGGGGGGGGGGGGGGGGGGGGGTAGGCAGTGCGCTGCCGGTCACGGGCCTGGCGATGCTGTCGGTTCGGACGGCGTATTTTCGGGTCATTTGAGGCGTGGCTGTGTGGGACAGGAGTTCATTTTGCCCATCAGACGTGAGTCAGGATATGAAAGGCATGACATGTTTACAACCCCTCGTTGGGCTCGGAGAAGGGATAGTGCACAAATGATTTTCTGTTACCTCATACGCCTTTCGCCGTTGCGGGTTTGTGCGCTGACGGCTGTGCGTATGTGTAGGTGCAAGACCCTGTGGAGGCCATGTTCGGTCTGGCAGACGGCGACGACCTTCTGCTCGACGAGAGCCAGAGCTCCCTGGTGGCCAGCATCGCGAACACGCTGATGGCTTCCGCCGAAGCCCGGGCAGGTGGCGCCACCGAGCCGCCGCTGGGCGGCGCTGATACTGTCGAGCCGTGCGATCTCGTCTCCGCGGCGACCGCTGGGTCGGCGGGCGTCAAGTCGGACACCACGTCGGAGGTGGACGTGACCGGTGACACGAGGTCGGCGTCACCGTCGGACGCCGGCCAGGAGGGCGCGGGTGCGGATCCGACGCAGCCCGGTGAAGCGGACGTGACGGGCGCCGCGGGGGACTGCGCCGGTCCAGAGATGGTGGAGCAGGCGGCAGAGGAGTGAACGGTATCTCGCCCCCGCCTTGTCAGGTGCGGAGGTTTGAGACTGGAGCATTGGAAATGCCGCTAAGTGTGATAAGTGGTCGCATAGAGTTCGAGGTTTTCGCGTTGTGGTATATTTCATGTCATCCGAAAGGTGTTCTCGTGTGATGCATTTGTATACGCCAGTTGCGGGCGTACTTATGACTTCACTGAGCAACAGCAGTAAGTGGTTGTTATTTTTCTAACGTTGGCGTGGGTTTTAGGCTCGGAAAGTTGTTGCTCATTCATCTGTATGTGGTCTGGAAATAAATTGAATGGTGTGCTACCTGGCAATTGCCTCGTGCTGCTACCACCCGCTGGGTTGCACATATCCAATACATTACCAGGTGACATCCCTGCGTGTACTGCTGACCGCGGCTTCAGTTCAGCTATAACTGGGGTACGCCCGCAGTTGTAGGCTTGGCCCCACTGCGCGGTTCGTGACGGGAGAAATTTGTGTCGGGACGGGCCTCCCGTGCTGGACAGTCCACTTTGTCAATGTGGACATGTCTATACGTTTCCCCGTGACAATGTCGCCATCTTACCTTGGTCGAGGGCGTCACGTGACGTCAGCAAATGACCGGAGTTGTCATTGAGCATTTGTGTACTTTTCCTCCTAATGCAAGCGGCCAATGAACAAGTGTATGCGATACGCACAAATCGACGAAAGATGTGTGCTAAGTTATGTTGCTGAAGGCCGGTATGTAGCCACAGCTTTCGTACGTGGCAAGCCTGAAACAGCATTGCGTGAAGCACAATGTGAAAGTGCGTGGAGCAAATTCAAACAGTTGTATGTGTAATTATGGGCACCTTAAACCTACGAATGTGTCGAAATGGATCTTGAATGCTTTAAGAAGTCGCAGGTGATCTTAGGTTATGGGATATTTCGAAAGAATGCTGAAGTGGGCCCTGTAACTTGGTTGGTAGGGTGGCGCCTACAATATCTTCATGGAAACGCCGCCGCTGGCTGGTTGGCCTGCCGCTCTTGTCGTGTCCTCATCTTTAGTATCACGTATGACATCAATTTTGAAACACCACCAAACCAGGAACTCCTTCGAAAATTGAATCACATAAAAATCATACGGTTAACAGTGTAATCTTACACTCATGAAGCCATCCAAAGCAGGGCCTTCCAGCCAGAACGGGTGCTGTTAAGAACGGAAATATCAGCATGCATCACGGGCAACAGAGAGCATCGGCGGTAGTCGCGAAGCCAAATCAGCGCCGACAGCTGGCTAATCAGATGGCGTCAGCGAACCCAAATAAAAGGGGCATCGCTCAGTGCTGAATGCGATACCTTCAGTAAATAAACAGCGGGTATGAACATGCGGTTTTAACCAAACAGTTGTCGCCATTGGCCAACTCCCCGCGTGCGTTGTGGTGTGAATTGCGCGCCGTCCCGTGGCGGTCACGGCCGACGGGCGCCGCTTTCAGGCGCGCAAAAACAGCCGCGCCGCGCCGCCATTGTCGGCTGATGGCCAGAAAATCGCGCGCCATCTGTCGCCGCGCGTGCCGTGTGTTTGCCGCCGCCCCGGCTCGAGTCCACACCGCCGCCACCCGACCCGCCGGACTGTATCATACGCGCTTTGTGAGCGCCGCCCGCGCCGTCTCACGGCCACTTGGTTCCGGGTCGCACCGCCAGGGGCGCGGCGGCGCCCTTTGGCCGCGGCTTCCGCACCATTAGCGCGCGCCGCGGCGGCCGGCGACAAAGCGCTGGGGCGTTCCGCGCGGTCGCCGCCCCGCCGCGGTGTCGCTGACAGTTGAATGCCGGCTGTGATTGGCGACTCTGTTGCGACGCTCCCAGGACACCCCATCTATTGACGCGCGTAACACGACCACCCCGGCCGGGCTCTGGCCGTGCCGCTACACGCGGCCGCGGGGCGTTGGTGTGACCGACGCACCCACAGACGGCGAGAGTGGGCTCGGCGGAACCGGCCGTCGTTACTGACCCAGCCATCCGACCCGAAATTGGCGCGCCAGTAAATGGCCAGGGACTCACCATGTGGCGTACAACGTGCTGGAACGCCCCAACCCACGGCGGTGCTAGACAGAGCGCATTTTGATTGGCATCATGTGATAGCGTTGTTCGCACATTTTTCATGTCCGTGCATACATGATACTGCAGTAACGTAAGTATAAGAAATGCACACTTTTTAAAAATTTGATTGAGATAGAAAATGGGTATGTCGGGTTGCCTGCATCCAACATCGCCATTTATTGAGGCTTGTAACGTGTCCTTAGGCAGGGCATAACGTCGATGTTGCTGGTGGGGAATACCCATTCGGATGAATGGCACCCTTTAGTCGGTTTCCCTGGTCACTTGTGTGTCATCGATGGTGACGGTAACGTGACGAGACTGTGACGTGACGGTGACGTGACGGTAACGTGACGGCGACGGTAACGTGACGGCGACGGTAACGTGACGGCGACGGTAACGTGACGGCGACGGTAACGTGACGGCGGCGTGACTGTGACGGCGACGGTAACGTGACGCTATTGTGACGTGACGGTGACGTGGCGTGATGGTGACGTGATGGCGGCGTGACGGTGACATGGCGGCAGCTTGATGGTGACGTAACGGCGGCGTGACGGTGACGTAACAAAGGCGAGGCCGTCAGTGACGGTGTTGTCTCACACAGTGTCTGTAGCATGCCGCCCTGTTCTCGTTTTTCTTTTTTGAGTTCATAGTAAAACGCAATGAACGTAAATATATTCCCAGTCCCATGGGAAGTGCCCCTTGTCATTCAGGTCGGAGACAGCAAATCGCTTCCCTGCTGCATTTGTGTACTTCGCCAGGTTGGCGGCAGTGCGTTGCGTTACATTGGGGTCCCGGAATTCATCGGCAGGTGTTTCGAGAACATACGACCACAAGCCGAGCAAAAAAATGTTTCCATTCTGGCGATAAGGATGCCGTCAGCTGTTTAGTTCGCCGCTCGAAGCCTAATGCGTTTTGCTCGCTCCGTATTTTGTTCGCTTTTTGCGTTCGGCCTGCGTTTTGGAGTTGGATATCGCCAATGCTCACAAGAGCTACGAAGAGCTATTGTGAGCTCACGAGAGGTTCAGTCAAAGGACTGCCAAGAGATCAGATTTATAAGCGGTTCCGATACGATAGGGGTTCTCCGAGACGGCAAGAGCTTCATAAACTGTCAAGCATGGTCAGAGGAGCACCAGGAAGTCTCTGTCGATGGCGAAGACTGAAAATGGTTAGGAGTGCGTCATCAGCCTATCTGCGTTTTAGGTTGCAGAAACTGATACGATAGTGGTATTTAATTATGTGCAAAAGTGCGTAGCTGAATTGCGCGTTGCCGAACGTCCGACATCGATGAAATAATAAAACACGCTACGCTGAAAACAACTTTGATTTCGCCACGAGTTCTACTCAAGTGACGGAAAAGTGATTCAAATGATCCCAAGATAAAGAGTTGAGCTACTTTGCTTCGGAGTACGCACAGCGATTGGGACGGGTGGGCTGTGACGCGACGATGATGTGAGGACTAGGAGGATGATGGCTAGGACCCCGAAATTCATGTTCCGAGTGTTTTGAACTCATGCTCAAAGAGTAAAACAGTAACTGCTCCATGAATTTCGATTCGAGTGTGACACCACGGTCACGGCCAGCGCGGCGGCGTCACGTCCCGTGCGGCGCCGGCTCCGCAGATAAATCGGCGAGCTGTCAGCACGTGTAAGCCGACCCCGGTCCGTTTAGAGGCCGCATTCGGTGCTTATGACGCGTGAAATCGGACTAATCCGTGGCCGCGGTCTGTTCATTGAGATAGCGGCGGCCACCCGCTGGGCCGGGCAGCCGTCCCCGCCGAGTCGGGCCGGGTTACGCCGCTGCCAGACGCGCTCGGGACGAGGCGCTCTGGGAGCGCCGGCGCGCCGCCGGGCCGGGCAGCCGTCCCCGCCGAGTCGGGCCGGGATACGCCGCCGCCAGACGCGCTCGGGACGAGGCGCTCTGGGAGCGCCGGCGCGCCGCCGGGCCGGGCAGCCGTCCCCGCCGAGTCGGGCCGGGTTACGCCGCCGCCAGACGCGCTCGGGACGAGGCGCTCTGGGAGCGCCGGCGCGCCGCCGGGCCACTGTCATGAACGGAAAACGGTGCGTTGGGGTTCCTGTACCTGGCGGAGCTGCAGGATGCGTGCAGCTCCCACCTGTGCGCCATTATCGTTTTGAGTTACGAATTATGCTTACGCATGATGGTCAGCTGCATTGCATTGAAAATAGGAAAAATATATGAAATAGAAAAGAACGAATTGCATTATATGCTGCCAACAGAGGCAATGCCACGCAGAAGGGAAGGATAGAGAAGCGTTTGCAGTAGAAATAAGGGAAGATAAAATATTTGAAATATGGGGCGTGACACTAGTCCTGTATCAGTTTTGCAGTCGAAGCTTTGTCGCGTATAAGTGAAGATTGTAGAAGTATTTTGCAGTAAAGGCACTGCCGTGTAAAACCAATGCTGTCGCTGCCCTGTCGGTAGCACCATTTGCAGTAACACCAGTGCCAAAACCCCTGCATATTGAACCCAACCCACAAACGTTCTTCGCAGTGACATTTCGAACCGCTATGGCTAGCACCATGAAACCCAATAACTTTTTAAAAAAGCTTATTTGATGTATTTGGTCTTAAAAAGTTAGTCCCTGCATGATCCAGAGGCGACCCTCAGAACGGTTTTCGGCGGCGTGCAGGGAAAATTTTACTGGTTTCTCAAGGCGAATGTGCCGCCCACGTGCACTCAATGTACACCAGTCCGATGTTTGACTGCAGTGCATTATGACACAAGATTTAGATGTAATGGCTTGCTGGGAACGGGTCCAGTGGTAACAGGAGTTTGGGCGCCTCGTCTCCACCGTGAACCGGGCCTTTTTGTGTTCTGCCCGTTGGCATCATGCATGTCAGCGATAACATTTCAGGGATACGCGGGCGTAAATAGCGTCAATGTCCGGAGATATTCATGTCGAATGCCATTATTTCGATGCAAAATTTCGTAGCTATTCTGATGTCCATTACGATGCCTCTGGCGATAGTGGCCATCATTGCAGCATTATTTTGCATCTTTAACAAAACTGACAAGGGCGAAGTCAGGTAACAAACGTAATCAATGATCGTAACTTTGTTTGCAGTGGAATGAAAGGATCGAATTGCTTATTACTTGATGACCCCGTTTGTAGCATGCGTGAGTACGTCACTGACGTTTTAAACCCTTCATTATTGATACCATTATCATTTTCTTCCACTCGTGGCATTTGTAGCCATGTCTAGACAAGGTAAACAGAGCAGTTTGAAAAGACCCTTCATCAGAAATGACAAGTGTCCCACTAAGATTACATGTCTGCATCCGCCGCTGACACCAAGG